CATGAAACAGAAACAGCAGATGAGCTGAATGAGACGCAGATTCACTCTCTGCCAGCAGGTGGCGCTTAAAGCGTTTCCTTGGTTTCCGCTGTAAACAAAGCAGCGCTGCACTTATGAACTTTAATATGCATTATACAGAGGCAAGAGGAAAAGAAAAAATATCATCGAAAGACAGTAAGTTCCACTCAGACACATTCATATAAACTCCTACCCCTAACTGAATCGCGATTTGTTTAGCATCTCAACCGATTTGAATCGTCACATATTTAAATCGATTTAAATTTAAACAAAATTCAATATCCCGTGGTAACTAGAGATTATGCCAGCTGCAGCTTGGATCCAGCCTCTTATGAAGACTTCATCACCTTTGAGTAGATGACACTAAAATAGTAACACTAAATTGTAGTCAAGCAGTCAAATATTCAATCATCATTAATTGTTCAAAGTAAAAAATACTACTAGAATTTCACTAAATTTTGTTTTGCTGGCTGGAAGTGCAGTTTATATGTGTTAAATCCTGAACACCCCAACTAAAACTTATAGTTTATACTAGTGTATACTTAATACTTAAGTTATAACTAAGTGCAGTGGCTGGTGTTTGTTGATTTGCTGTGGACACATTCGATTCGAATTTTTAACAGTATCAAATCCTTTCCCATGCAATCAGTGCTGCAGATGCAGCTGCTGACACTGATGATGGAGAGAGTGAAGTGTGGTGCCCACACATCGGAAAAGGCTGAGCCAGTTCTTCTGTGATGATTATAGAAAGTCTAGCTGAGATGAGTTATTTTCTTTGCAGCCAATCTTATTGTGATCACACTTGTGGTCCTCTGTGTTCAAAACAGACTAAACACATTATTATAAGCATAAGCATTTTTACTTTTATTTTTTCATGAAATTAATACTATATTTTGTTTCAATAAAATTTTGGGAGGAGAGTTCATGATACTAGACAATATTCACGTCTAAATTATGCATCTTATGAACTAAATAAGCTGAATTTTCATTCATGTTCTATTTTGAGAAGTCAGGATAATAACGTTTAGCTTGAAATTTTAATGTGACGTGATATGAGACAAGAATATCTATGGAATAGTTCTTTTCAGCCTGCTGTATTATTCTCCTCATTATTTTCATTATTCCTTTGTAATCCTCTGTAACTATATGAAGAAAGACAACATATATTTCCTTTTAATGATCGAAGGTTGAAGGGTGAGTAGAATAATCTCACCTCATTGTACCCAGTTTTTAGAAAATACTTAAGAACTGAAGCTCATCTACAGCTTGATCAGTGCACTAGTTTGGCTCATTGAATAATTTCAGACAAGTCCTCAAGAGCTTCAACAAGAGGTTTGATGTCTGTAATGGGCTGCTGATAGTTGCAACAAGCAATGTCTTTGTGTGGCATGTTCATTTTTAGAAAATGGCTCATAGAGTTAGATATTAGAGTCAGAACTATCCATTTAAGAAACATGTTTTTATTTGTTTGCAGTATTACAGCTGGTGGAGTAGCTACACAGAAGCCATCAACTACCTGATAACCATTCCCAAATACCGCATCCAGGCTACTGAACTGGCCAAGCAGCAAGGTCTGCTGAATAAAACCAAAGAGAAGGGCAAGAACCGGCGCTCCAAAGAGGAGATCCGTGAGGAGGAGGAGCTGATTATCAGAGACATCATCAAGAACAAGATAGACATCAAAGGTGGCTATCAGAAGCCCAATATATCTGATATTCTGCTTTGTAAAATCATTCTGTTCCCATACCATCTGTGCACTTATGTGGCGTGGAACTGCTCGTGGTTTTACCGTTTCATCATTCGCGGGGAGGAGTATGGGGATGAGGAGAGACTTTACATTATCCGCAGGTACATGAAGATGTCACAGGCTCAGTTTGATAGTCTGGACAACAGCCTGATAGAGACTTTCCTGAAGCAGCAGCTCTGGATCAAAGAGAATTATGAGGTTTGAGAAGATTTCTTTCCTTTTTTTTCTTTTTTTTGCAAAGTTGATCGACTTCCACATAATAGAGCGGTGATGATGTTTTTTGTAGGCCAACCCGGAAGTTATCATCCCCTGGTTCCTTTGACAAAATCCCAATAGGGTTTTCCATTTCCTTTTGGATTATTGCTGAAAATAAGCTCAGTGACCAACAAAGATTTATGATTCCTACATATTTGATTCATCATGATAAACTTCACAAATGAAAACAACTTTTATGAATGTTGAAGCCTACGTACAGTCTGCAGAAGTAAAAAGCTTAAAGGGTTAGTTCACCCAAAAATGAAAATTAGCCCATTATTTACTCACCCTCAAGCCATCCTAGGCATATATGACTTCCTTCTTTCAGAAGAATCCAATCGGAGTTATATTAAAAATTTACTTTGGTCTTCCAAGCTGTTTAATGGCAGTCAGCGGGTGTTGCATGCATCAGTCCAAAAGAAGTGAAATAAAGCGCATCCATCCATTAAAAAAAAGTGCCTCACACGGCTCCGGGGGATGAACAAAGGCCTACTGTAGCGAATCAATGCATTTTTGTAAGAAAAATAACCATATTTAAAATGTAATAATCAATTTAATCTAGCTTGCGCTCACTGTTGTACACGGAAGCAGCTCCGGGCGGATGAC